GGGCACACTTCGCGCCCGACGGACTTCTGCTGGGCACCTGCCGTAGACGACGCGTGGACTGCCGCGAGTACCAGCGAGGATAACGTGGTCATGGTCTGGCAGCCGACGACACATGTCTGGGCGGGAGACGATCTCAAGGTCAACCCTGATCAGCTTGAGGCGAGCGAGCCTATGGAGGTCGAGGGCGGTGTGCCAGGCGGTAGCGGGACACAGAGTATGAGCATGAGTCGCAGCGGGAGTGCTGAGATGGACGAGAGCTAGTGCTGAACGGTCTTGCGTTGTATCCCATTTCGTGCTGCTGATGGAAAGAAATATCTTGATTCACACATGGGAATGAGTGTAGCAGGTGGATGGCATGGATCCAGAGAGCAAAGAGAAAGCGTGCGTGGTGATACAATGTAGCCTACGAGTCGGTATATAGCGCCAGGGTAGAGAATGGGAAGATATAAACGGCACTAGAGGAAGAAGAGTCGGAGCAGTTCGAAGATGCCTGGAATATAGCATGTCAGCACGAAGCGCCCGGACAAGCTGAGTTGAAACTTACCACCACCGAGCACGACAAATATCACGGCTGCCAGCGCCCACTTGCCGATGGGTGACTGCTTCGCTGCCTTCTCCTGACGAGATGGGTTGACGGGATTCTTGCCCGCGCGCGCCTTTGCGTTGAATTGTGCATTCCTCTGTTTGATGGTGGAAGACTGGACACAACAGTCGTGTAAGCGCGTGAACGTTTGCCCTGGTATATTGGATACATACCATGGTATATTACGAAGGAGTGACGAGTGGTGATGAGGCGCAGAGGTCTTTTGAACGGGTTGAAAGCAAGCTGTGCCAGCGACGAGACGGACGTGTTCGCCAACAGCCACGCGTGCGCCCTGGGCCCGATATGATCTCGGAGGTTTGGCTCGGTTTGATCCGTCTCGGCCACATTCTTCAGAATCAAAACTTGTCTTCGACCTTCATCTCATGGCTAAGGGTAGCAAGAAAAAGCTACAGTCTGCGTTGTTCTCGCAGCAGACAAGGTTGAAGAAGAATGCGGAGGCTAAAGCTGCGGCACAGGTCGGCGAGCAAAAGGACAGGGCGAAGAAGGCGGTTTCGACGCGCAGACCTACTATCCCGTTCCTGCCTACGGATCGCATATTGCTTGTGGGCGAAGGCGACTTCTCCTTCGCGCACGCCCTTGTACTACATCCACCTGAATCACTCGAACATCTTCCCTCGACAAATGTTGTGGCTACTGCATACGACACGGAGCACGAATGCTACGAGAAGTACCCGAGCGCTTCGGCACATGTCGCTGCATTGCGCGAGAAGGGCGCGACGGTGCTCTTCGGCGTTGACGCGACGAAACTTGACAAACATGCAGCCCTCACCAAAGGCAAACGCTTCGATCGCATAGTCTGGAACTTCCCTCACGCAGGTAAGCTTTACTTTCACCGATCAGTCTCGCATCGCAGAGCGTTGAGGTTGAGAAGCCGCGCCGTAAGGCAAGGGCATCGCGGACCAGGACAGAAATATACGCGCGAACCAAGAGCTACTTATGGGCTTCCTACGTTCTTCCCCGGGCGTACTTGCGCGGGGACCAGTCCCGCAGGTTGTCAAGTCACGAAAGCAGAAGCGTACCGAAGACGACGAGGACGTGGACGAACGTATGAGTGGCGATGATGCGTCTACAGGCGTTGAGGCTGGAGGGGCACGCGGTACTGTGCTTGCTACATTGCGAAATGTCTCACCCTATACGGACTGGTTCGTGTTCGTCTTATATTCTCCTCCACCCGCTAATCCGATCAGCAGGGATCTCCCGCGACTAGCTAAGAACCCGCCTGCGCCAAAGTCTAAGGAAACCCCTTTCCGGTATATGCAGCTGCGCTCGTTCGTCTTCAATAGGAAAGATTGGAAGGGGTACTCGCATCGTATGACCAAAGGAGATCGTGTTCATGGCACTGGAACGACCGGACAAGGAGGCGAAGATCGCACTTGGGAGTTCTGCTTGCGCTACGAAGATGAACAATAGCAGTGGATGCTGTAGTGCGGGCTCTGTCAAGAGTGCCAAAAGGGTACGTACATCACGCCACACGTCCTCTGATGTGCAGTGATTCACGACTTCCGGCAGTGACTGGTCTGATCCAAGCCTGATGTTCGCCGAACAACAAAAACCAGCATGTAACATGGGCTGTTTGTAATCTTCTCGTTAGTGCCCTCTCCTATGATCTGTACTTCCAATGTCCAGGTGGCCTCGTGTACGGTCCCCGAAATTGGGACCCACTATACATAACACACCATAACACTGAATAGAAGGCCACGCGATGCGCTATCAGCGACATCGCGATGTACACGATGCACCGTGACCACCATCTCTCACCCCGGTCCATTGTGCGTGTTTGGTGCCCAGACCCTCGGTCGTGCCTCTTCATCATAATCGAGCTTGCCGTGGTGCCCGAGCATCTTCCTGTCCCATCGACACATTCAGCTTATCTAATCCTACGCCATGAGCGGTCGCTCCGCCTTAGTCCATTGTAATGAAATAGTCTTGTGCAACGACTGTTACTCACGTTAGTACCTTCAAGCCCAACCGCCTCTGGATGTCGGCTCAGCGGCCAAAGTCACGCCAGACGTTTCGCGCATCGTCAACTTCATACGAAAGCTCGATCGACTGTTTCGCGCCAGCCGCCTTACCACTCGCTCGTGGACACGAGTGTCACTTATCAGCAACCTGAAACTGCTGAAAGAGCCCAAGTACATGTCACACCCCGCACTTCGCGATGCCGACGTTCTCGAGAAGGTGTACGAGGAGTCGAGAATTCTTGACCTGTATCATGCCATGCTCGTTGAGGATGGCTTTTTCAGCGAATCAGAGGTGTGTAACCTCGTTACTTCATGCGCAGATGTGGGCGAAGCTCTTCATCCTCGTTGTATAGGGCTATATTGCACACGTGTTTTCAGAAATTGGTGCGATAGGAGCAACCATTGCGGGCTATCAATACCAGAGATTGGCCGATCGTATGGTATACCACGCCTCGTCAATGTGGAAGCATCTCTGGACTCACCGACGTGCTCTCCTCAACAACCGCGCCCTCGACTCCACACCCATCAAACTGGACAAATTACCACCCGAGACCATCATCACCTATCCAGCCGACTTGCCTGAGACATTCAACCTCAACTCCAAGTCGCAAGAGCTGCAATCAGGCTCATCCGATCGCCTCTATCTCATCATGCTCATGTATGGTTGGGCCGGTTTATACAAGATGAGGTGCGTTCCGCAGCATCTGTGGCTCGCGTATGTTTAGTATTGACACATGGGCCAATTAATATAGACCAGATGCCGCGGTGTCCCCGTACCACCGACACTTGACACTTTACTACTGGATCTGTATGACAAATCACGTCGACATCTCGACACCTCAAGGAGATACACTACGGCCCGTCCTAACATGCCTGCAAAACATCAAGGAGGATTCTACGAAAGACGCACTCGTACGAGAAGTCTTTGCCAGTGGCACCGGTATCGACCCAGCTGCCTTCTGCATCCGCATCAACCAGCATGCTAGCAGAGTCGCTGTGACCCTCAACGTGCGCACACCGCCCGGAGAGGACCAGACCGGTCTGGAGATGCTGTTTGCTTTACAGGACCTAGCTTGCCATCCTTTGATATTCCCGTCTGTGGCGAAGTACGCCTGCCATGAAGCAAGTGTGCGTATGACTTCGCAGGTACTGCGCAGTGGGATTGTCTCCGACCCGTATACGGAGTTCTTGTTGTGGTATACTAGCCACATGCTGTCTCAGTGAGCGTTGGTTCCAATCTGGCCGTAAGGTCGAGCTTGGATGAACGTCTACGTAGGAGAATCATGGCATACGTACATCGCACAAAGTCGCAGAATGACTCGGACACTATGCGTACCTTGACAAGCTTCTTTCGTGGTGAAGATCTTATAGAGGAGCTCGCTCGGGGTATTGATCTGCTGGCGAGGCGCGGTACCGACCTTGGTCCGAACTATCACTCCTGTGAGCACTCTGCATGATCGTTTCCCCGCCGTCTTCGAATACTGACTCTATTGGATTGGAAGATCCTCGTGAATCTCAACTTCCATCTGCGCTCACTGGTCGCATAAAGAGCGTCCAGGAACTAGTCGTCCTCACTCGATTCAATGCACACGCCGGGCGTCCGTTCTTAGAGTCTATGAAGCACGGCGCACACCAAGCATGGTGGCCCACGCTGCGCAACATACAGAAGGCGGCGTATCTAGCACCTGAGGCCACGGATCGTGCAGTGAACATGGACATCTCGCGACAGTGGTCGCAAGTTGGCGCGGCATTGGGATTGAGCGAAGAAAAGGAGCGCAAGCGCCACGAACGTGAGGCCTCACGTCGCTGTGCATGGGCGGGATGTGGCTTGCACTGGTCGACGCCGGATGTGTCGATCAAACTCAAGACTTGCAGAGGCTGCGGCGAGGTTAGCTACTGTGGGCGGGGATGTCAGAAAACGTGAGTACAATTGGGGAGAGCTTCGGGTATCGGATGCTTACTAGCATTCCTCATAGCGATTGGAATCAAGGCAGGCACAAGGATAAGTGTCGAAACCGTTTGAAGTCGTAGGGAAGTGGTTGCGAGTCGCACGGAAATGAGGTGTGAGGCAGAGTGAGTACCGCAAGGTATTGATCCGGTGCGCTGTGCCCAGCATAGGCAATGTTTGCTTCATGTTGACCAAGTTGATCGATCTTATGCTCAAAATTCATGTCAACATGTCCTTTTTTACACTGCCCGCTTCGAGCGCCGACGAGCCAGACCTCACGAACAGCTTGAGCAAACAACAGTGCAGATAAGTTTGCAAACTAGGATGGGAGTAATATAGTGCACAGGTGTAAGCACCATCTAGGCAGTCGGAGTCGCCGAACCACTCTCTGCCGCAGCCTCCTCCAGACTCTTCTGCAGCCCCTCCAAAGTCCTCTTCAACTTTCCACCGCTCGCCTCGCTCAATACACCCGCAAGCTGGGTTGCAGGCGCACTGAGCAAGCCCACTAGTTGTGCGTGCAAAGTCTGCAACGTGGGTAATGTTGCAACGTCCCGTACGCCTGGCGGTGCAAATACGCGACCCTCGATGAGAGCTCCGAGTAACGCCATCTCCGGCGCGTGCACAGTGCGCTGGCGCTTCATGCGTTTGCCAGGGCTCGGCGGGTCTGCCTTTGCCGCATCCTCCTTCGCCTTGATTTCTGCCGGTGTCGGAGGTTTGGGTGGAGGGACGGCGCGTTCGATGGCGCGCAAGACGGCGTTCAGTTGTGGTGGGTTGAGCTCAGGCAGCGTGAGTACTGCCAGACCACCAGACACGGCTTCTGCGATGGCCCGCGCTGCTGCTGTATCCAAAGGAGCATGCTGCCGTAGAGCGGCACCGAGAATGGCAGTTCGAATGACCGTCAAGGTCGGCAACTCGACAGGCGCCGGTGCTACTGCGGCAGGCGCCTTGCCCTTCGCGTCCTTGCCGGCGGCTGCTGTAGGCTCGGGAGTCGTCGGTTTCGGCACGTACTTGCCGGCGGCATCGGCGATGGCAGAGCGAAGAAGCGTCATGTTTTTGAGCGAGAATTTGTGGTGGTTGAGGAAGATGAGCGGCCGGTCGGACTGCAGCAGTCGCGCGTACTGGTTGTACCGGAACGTCTTCTTCTCAGGGTAGTATCGCTCCCCAGTCTTCGACTCGTAGACACGTGGCGCCTTGACGGAGATGGCATATCCGCGTGAGGGTGCGGCTAGAAGCGACGCGGTGGGTGGTCGGCGGAGCGTCTGCATGGCTGCTCGACGCAAGTTGTGCGCTGGACGCGAAAGCGCGCCGTGAACGCAGAATAGGGTTAGGGTTAGAACCGAAATTGACGGGGCCGCGACTTCTTCCAGGACGGCCACAAGCATCAGAACGTTCCCTTCGGTTGCTCCTTCAGATATGTGACTGGGACGCTCTAGACTGCAGGGTCTTATATACTCTGATTACCACCCTCGTGCGCCGTTCTTGTCTACACTGCAAAGTCTACGTCGTCGCCGGCTACACACTTCTGCCATCTACAGCTATTTACCCCGTGGACGGATCTGGAGAACAAACGGACCCACCTACCTGAAGCACTACAATGAGTATGAGGAAGCCTTATCTGCCACCCTTGTCATTGCCATTATTATCGTTCGTGCCGGCCCGGAAGCACGTCTCTTTCCATCGAGTGACCGAGTCTGGTTGCCAATTCCAGTTGAGACATACCACGAAATTCTACTATTGCATTTGCTCTCAATATCCCTGTGATCTCATTCAGATCGTATACCCCCATATCTAACTGCGCTCATCGCCCCCATATCATATCAAACTAGACTCGTCGGTCGGCAGTCGCGAGGCAGTCCTCTGTACATGTATATGCCTCTCACTCGTCTCATCGACATCTTTCCTCATGCGCCTCTGACAGGACATGTGAGCAGCTCTGAATACAATGATCTTGCTATCTGAGCTGGTCCAGACAGATGAAGCCCGAGCGCGTCGACTCCAGGTCGGATCGCCATGGACACTAGGGACTGCCTGAATGCAGTCCTAGCTGGCACTGACGTGATACTCCAGGACAACGGAACAATGGCCTACGCTCGTGCGTAATATGCTCTGCTTCTTTGCTTACCAGGCTTTCTGACCTTTCATAGAAGTCTGGGTGTGGCCTCAAGCTATGCACAAGCCTCCTTTGATTGATGCCCAACAAACGCTGAACCCGAAGAAAGGAGACTAAATCAGTCTCGCTTTAATACCTGAGCGTCATAGCACTATCAGTACTCACACACGTGTACGGATACATGGACTCGAACCTCTTTCGGGACGAGCGGGAGGTCTCTCCGTCGAAGATACGCTCTTCCGAGTCTCGCATGCAGGGTGGAGCCCTCGGCGCACAGATGATACACAATATACATTGTAACGAGTCTTCATAAGATACCTATATAACTGTAGTGTATATGATCGAACCACCTCCATGTCTGGAATGGTGCTCGCTTCTCATGCCAGTTCGCGACGCCGGATGATGGTATACCACCGTCACCGCGATGGTAGTCACGTCACACAAGCGCAGAGGACCTCCTCCTCTTCCCTATCCACTGCGGTCCAGAATCGTATAGCTCGGGAACAGGGCGGATTCCTGGTAGTATGCGAGACGATGATGATGATGAAACCGATTTTATCGTGGCGCTCAAGCCGTTTACGGCTTATGTGGCTACGGCGACGATTACAACATTTTATCTACGCAGGCAAGTCGGATCTCGGGCCAGTCCTCCTTCTCCTACCGCTTCTCCGGATATCTATGTGCATGTCGCGCTGAATCGAGGGGTGTGTCTTGTGCGGGTGTGTAACTTGATTGGGGCGCTCCGCGCCAGGGTCTTGCGAACGGGTTGTTGTGGCGTGCCCGAAGGCTCAGGGGAATAGGCCCTGTGAGGAATAAGTTAATAGGGGAGAATATAGTGTGTGCATAGAGTGCAGCGAGTCGAGAGTGGGAGGCATAATGGCATATGTGTACGATGGGGAGTCAATAAATATGGACAGACTCAGCTTATGATCCTTCGTCCGCATGCGCGTAGCGCGGAAAGCGGTTCGTGGCCTGCACGTATCGCATGAGGGCACCAACATGCTTGTGACCGAGCAACGTGATGAGATTGAGAGGCACCCGCCGAAGTTCCCGCCGGAGTTGAGCTCGTTGTGTGGTGTATCGGCGGCACATGTATGCGAGACGATGGCATGGCATATGCGCACGAGGCGCGGCAGTAATAGAATTCTCATGTGACCGCGCGATTCTTGGTTGTCGTTGGCCGTCGCACCCGTTTGCTCCTGGTGCATGACGAACAAGACGGGAATAACGTTACCAACGAGCAGGTTCGGCATTGCGTCTGTACTATACACGATGGCGCGAACATCACGCGTGAGATTAGCTCACAGCGGGCGCCCGTCGCATTGCGCTCTCCCAGCCTCATGACGCGACCGTGAACACCAGGGACGAGAGCCTCAGTCAGAAAAGCCGAACATGTCCGGACCATCCACCCGCGCACTCTACCGGCTCACTCATCTCGCTCGCCAAATCCCTCCATCTCTGCCTGTTGCTACAATACCCATCAGTTCGAAACGTGCGATGTCGAGCTACCCGTCCACTGTGAAGGCCGTCGGGATCAAGGAGGTTGGCGGCGTGGACAAGATCGAAGATCTGGAGCTGCCGTTCCCGAGTCCGAAGCCGAATGAACTCCTCGTGAAGGCGCGCCTAGCTTCCCCTTCTGCGATCATATGTGCACTGCGGGGCTCATACGGTCTCTGTGTGTAGGTGCAATGGGCCGGTGTGAACTTCATTGATACCTATATGCGGTGAGCCTGCCCGAATGCGCTCTCTATGTGCGTCAAGTGCCGACGGACTGTGAAGGTCTGGCCTGTACAAGCCTGCGTTCTTGCCGCTGCCCATCGCGAAGGAGGTTGCGGGCGTAATCGTAGAGCTTCCGACTGACGAGAGCGTGCTTAACAATGAAGCGTACAAGAAGCGCGGGTTCAAGAAGGGCGGCAAGGTCGCTGTCGTACGTGTCTTGCTTTCCTCCGCATGGGACAGAATGACTGAGTAAATCATCAGGATGTCGCCGGTAGTTTGAAGGAGTACGTCTCGGTTCCATGGTACGTCATTCCATATAACTCTACAGAGCGGTGTTTTAACGATAGTAGGGATTCATCTGTGTACCCTGTGCCGGAGAACCTCACTACGCGTGAAGCGGCTGCGTCGGTTCTTCAGGTGGGCCTTCTCCTCTATCGTTATTGGTCGATACGTGTATAACACATGTCTTGTAGGGCTTCACGACCCTCGGTCAGGTCACAGAGGCCTATCCCGTTAAAGCCGGGGATACCGTCTTCATTCACACGATTGCTGGTGGCGTAGGATTGCTTCACGCGCAAATCTCCAAGGCGAAGGGCGCTACGGTCATCGGGACAACATCGACGCCGGAGAAGGCTGCATTGGCGAAGGAGAACGGCGCGGACCATGTCATCTTGTACAAGCAGGAAGATGTAGTCAAGAAGACGCTCGAGCTCACGAACGGCGAAGGCGTGAATGTCATCTACGACGGTGTGGGGAAAGATACGTGAGTTGACCTCATCTTTAGCATGCTCGCAGTAGCGCCTCGGGCAAGGCAACGTCAAGATGCCGACAAGCTTCCTGGGCATGATGTCAAGATCTTCACACAGGCTGACTTCCTCCCCTGCCCGCAGGTTCGAAGGCAATTTCGAGATCATCAAGCGTAAAGGGACCATTGTGAGCTTTGGGAACGCAAGTGGCCCCGTGCCGGACGTGCCTTTATTCAAGCTGACGCCGAAGAACGTCAAACTCATGCGCCCGACGTACGTCCCGTTCCACTGGTATCACCGAGTTTGTGTTGGACTGTAATCCAACCCTACTCCGACTGATCTTACCATGGCTGCTATGACACCGAGCGCTGACACGCTGATTGCATTTGCACAGGATGGTCAACTGGGTGCATACGCTTGAGGAAAAGGAGCGCTACGGCAACGAGCTGTTCAAGCTCATCGGTGATGGCAAGCTAAAGATACGCGTGCACGGCGAGTACCCCTTCACGGCCGAAGGAGTCAAGGCGGCACAGTCAGACCTGGTCGGCGGAAAGACGACGGGCAAGGTGATAATCAAGGTTGAGCAGTAGATGGCGTAGTACGAAAGTAGAAGTGTAGGATAATGCGCAGACGGGACACGCGTGGAACGCGGGACAGGGGCGTTGGGACGGGCTTCGGCCGGGAGTTTCGGATGTGATTTCGAGAGCGTGGCGTTCATAGCCGCATGATGATAGCCGTCGTGGAATATATACACTTTGACACAAACGTCGACCTTGGGGCGGGCTCCTCTCTTTCGACTCGAGAGCTCGTTTGACTACTCTACTCGTTGTCTGCGTTGTCTGGCGGTGATGTACTTGCGCGCACGGGCAACCTCGCCGACGCCGGACCTAGTGCTTGTGCCGCCTACGCCGGTGAACAGGATACACCCAGAGAGCGGGTCACAGTCGTCGTCGCCATCAGCGTCGAGCACCCCGCCCACGCCCGAGCTGACGACGACCGAGGAGCGCAGTTCGAGCGAAACTATCGAGATTTATTCCATGTACGACGGCGACAACGGGAGAAGCGAGGAGCATAGGCACCCATCACGGAAGGAGACCCACAGCTCGAACAATTCGCATGGCAGCTCGGCCTACTTCAGCGCATTCACTGCCTCGGAAGATGCCGCGAACGACGACTCGCCGTACATGGGCATTGAGCCAGACGTCGCCCTCGACTACCGGCACTCGCGCAGAGTCAAGGCCCTGCCCCAGCCACCGGACCGGGACACCCGCTTCCTGTCACCGACTCCACCGACCAGCCGGCCAGGGTCGACGGTGCCGCATTCACCGACGCCGCCTCAGCCGCTGTACGCTCCACAGGCCTCGACTTCTCCGCCTCCCACGCACATCACGCCGAGCACGTCGCGCCATGCGTCCCATGCGTCTGTCACCACTCGGACTTCAAACCCTTCGCCGCGCATGAGCATGCAGACGAGGGACATGCCCTACGACTCTCCCGGAAACATCAGTCTCACCCGCTCGGAAGGCGAGGACGATGATTCGTTCCTTGTCAGGAGCACATATGCCCAGCTTGAGCGTAGCGGCGTTAAAGGTGATGGGATCGTGGAAGGTGTCGAGCGCACCCGTGCCAAGATCGGGCCCAGCAGAGCGAGCGAGATCATGGCAGCCGAAGCTCTTGCCGACGCACGGGAGAAGCGGCGCGAGCTGAGTTCGCAGGAGGTCGAGATGCTCGCCAGCCTCGACAGGTATTGTTCTTTCCTCCTTCGGTGAATTAAAGCGGAAGCACTGATAGAAGAATCCGCATCCAGGTACGGCTTCTTCACGACGCCCTCGCATGACCGACTCCTACTCCTGCCTACCGCCGCCTTTGGAAAGCCACTCGCCCGAATAACGACGGGGTCGCCGTCCGCTTCCGCAGCGGCACGCACGTTACGATCGGTACCGCCTCCGCAGCCCCCAATACACGAAGAGGAGCGCATGGAGAAGTGGGGACGGATGCTTACACCCCGCGTACGTGATGCGGGCGGTAATGTGGAGATGTGGGCTGTCCGGCAGAACAAGCATCCCAAGCTGTTGAGGAGGGTGTACAAGGGCATCCCCGATCGTTGGCGAGCGGCGGCCTGGGCGGCGCTCATGAGCGACTTTGCACACGCTGGGCCGGACGACTTGAAGAGACTCAAGTCACAGTACTTCCTGGACCTCGACAAGCCTAGCACCTTCGACGTGCAGATTGACCTCGACGTACCAAGAACGATCAGCGGACATATCTTATTTAGGACAAGATATGGGCACGGGTACGTATATCTGCTATTAGGTGAACTTGGGTGACCGCTGACGTTGATTTATAGGCAGAGGTCGTTGTTCCATGTTCTGCATTCGTTTTCACTGCACTGCAGCAAGTGTGGTTACTGCCAGGGCATGGGCCCGTTGGCCGCCATGCTCCTATGCTACGTCGCACCCGAGCGCGCGTACGCGGCCCTGGTACATCTACACGACGCCTACAACATGCACGCCATCTTCGCACCTGGCTTCCCTGGGCTCCTTGAGAGCATATACGTGCAAGAACAAATCATGGCACAGCTCATGCCGCCCGTGTACGCCGCTTTCAAGAAGCACATGGTCTCAACCACAAGCTATGCCACGAAATGGTACATTACGCTGTTCGCGAATAGTGTACCGTTCCAGACAAGCTTGAGGCTATGGGACGCTTTCTTGCTTGAGGGCCAAGACTTGTTTGTCGTTGTTGCTATAGCCATCATATGGGCGTACCGAGGTATGCACTTCATGTTTCTATACCGGCTTGACTTCTTGATTGACTGGGTGCCCAGAACACATAACATCCGACTCGGCCAACTTTGAGACTATGCTCTCCATGCTTTCCTCTTTCTTCGTACCTGAGGACGAGAACGCGCTCATGACATGGGTCGGCGTTGTACTCGCGAACAAGAAGTTGCGCGCCGACATGAGCAGATGGAGAACCGAATGGCGCGAGTTAGTCAAGCAGGGCAAGGAGGGCGATGCGTTGTTATGACACCCCTTCTTCTGCATCGCTCTGGTTCGCCTTTTCGTACTTCGTGGATCTTCTGCATATTTGTCTCCCGCGCCACCCTCGCTCTCCCATGCCCTCGTCTCCCGCTCACATTTTGATATCGTCATCACATCGCATCGTCTCACCTGCTATCGCACGCATCCTCCGTATTCTCACTCGCATTCACGTATTTATCGTCCGACCGCATCGTTCGATCCTCACTCCACGTCGTCCTCGCACATCCCCGCATTGGCACGTCTATCCGCACTCGTTTACATACCGTCCCTCCCTCATCGCATTCCCCGGGTCTCCCTCATCCTGTTTCTATAAAGTGTCTCGTTTCTCCTCTGGCTCTGGTATCCAGCGCAGACGGCCCACATATACCTTCCCCTCTGGATTTCGGTCTTTATATCCTAGGCAGACTTGGATTACTGGGCGGTCTCACCCCGAAGTACTGTAGTGTATCATGGATCACAGACTCTTTCATAGCCAGTCTTTTCTCCGTCAAGTGCTGCTGCCAGCGTCGGTATCCTTGCGTAATCAGTTGGAACACCTTTCGGCCGACATCGAAATCTCATCGGGGCGTAAGGTCCGCATTGCCCTTGTACTCGATACGACCTCCATACAGCTCCTCGACTGGAGGTTGTCTTATCTGGCAGCTAGATGTCAGTACTTACGTCGTGCTTAGGCGGCTGCCGGCCTGCGCAGAGCTCATGTGGCTTTGAGCATGCTTGTAGAGTCTTCCGATCGCGCGTCCAGGCTCATTTGCGCCGGCCTTGGCTTTCCCCTGCCCTTGTTCTCCGTTTTGTGCAAGGCTACGTCGCTCCTGTTATCTCTTCGATCAAAGCGCCTCCCCACGCATAATTATGTGCACCTTGTATCGGAAGAGTGCAATAGGACCCGTCGGCGCGGCTCACGGCTTGGCTTCCCGCCTGACGCGACTTCCTCATCGGGAAGCTGTTGTTCTGCCTCACCGGCTCTCCTCTCTGTAGAACACCATCGCGAACGTTCTCAGCATGTATCATACAATTATAAGTACGGAGAACAAAAGAGCACTCTACAGCACGGAATCATCCGACTCCAGTCACCGCGACCAAAGCGCTACACGCTATTGTCCTCCGCCCAGCCCGCCCTCCGCGCCGCATACACCCACGCGCGCCATCAGTGACCCGACGACGCATATATCTAGGCCCCCGCACGCACGACGCGAGAGTTCCCCAGCCAGGCTTCATACCCCTGCCTTGCCAGTCGTTCTCGTCTCGTACACTAAACCCGCTGCGCGGTTCCGGCCTACATTCTTTGCCTCGGTCACGTCTCTGTCGGTCCTCGCATCGTTCACTCGTTCGCTACGACCCATCCGTTCTTGT